TATTCATAAAAATAAACAATAAACAATAAACACAATGTTCTTTTGGTTTTAGTTTTATATAGCGCAGCCTTACTAATTGTATTTTAGATTAGAAAATCTTATTACACTATTTATTTTTTGTTTCAATTACATTTTAAACAATTTTAGTAAACTAAAAACAGAGCAGATTTTTATTTTCAAAAATTAAATTAAAATTTGTTAAATTAAAATAAACGTAAATGTACCCAGTTTATACTTTTGTTATTTCATCCCGATTTTCCATGCCTTATAATTATAAATAAAAAATATGATTAAGCGTAGCCCTTTGTCTGCTAATTATTATCGTTGTCTGTCCATCTGTGTGTCTTTTTGATTAGAACTCTCTTCTCTTGCAATTGCTAATGAATGTTCAGTCTAGGGCGCAGCTGGAGTTGTAAAATAATTAGACAGAAATTTTAAGCATATTCAAGTTTTTGAAGAACAAATTAAAAGTTTTGATCCCAAGTTCTAAGCTGAAAGTATACAAATACATTTTTATATACTGATGATAGCTTTGTTTATAAGTTCTCTATAAATCCATTATATTCCTCTCTCTAAAAAAACCGCCATAAATCAACTTAAAAACTTCCTTTTAGAGTGCAACGAAATTTATATTTAATACTTATACATTAAAGTGCTTAAAAATAATTAAGTTCAGTAATTACAAGCTAAAATCTTGATATGTGATTCACATTTGTCATTATTAAAATTAAGCATATATAATTTTTTTGGCATTTGAACTTTATTTGAACTCTATATAATTACGCTAAAGACCCTCTATAATTAAAAAAAGAAAAAACTTAAACATTTATTGTTCTATCCGGCGACCAGCCCAAAATGCAGAGTTTGTATCAACGGGCGCTTGGATATGCCATTATTATGGGGGTTCAAAACATTTTACGCTTGGCCAGCGTTTAATTCTGTATAAAATATTACCGACCTGACAACTTTAGCAACAACAATAGCATTCATAATAATAACTGAGTCTTGAATCATTAGCGTAAAGAGATAAAAGGTTAAAATAGTTTAGCTTCGACAAAAAAAATTATAATGAAAACAACATGCGAAACGAAATTAAGAAGCAAAAATAGTTAGAATAAAGTTATCAA